AAAATTCCCCCCACCCCCAAAAACTGGGGTTTTTCCTCAAACCCTACCAAAAATGTTTTTTCCTCCCCTTGCCCCCATACACGAAATCACAGCTCCCCCATCCCTTTATCAACATTTTAAAAATTCCTCAAAAATTCCCCCCATCTTCCCAATACCTCTAATCCCCCATTTAATAACTTTTCCTCTCCTATTTTTAACTACAAATCCATTTGTTTTCTAGGTTTCCTTTAACTTTTAATCTCACTCCAAAACTTTTTTTTATTTTTAACAAAATTGTTGAAAAAAAACATCTCACCCACATCTCCCCATTTGCTCCTTTTTACATTGCTTTAAAACCCCTCTCTTAAAACCTTTTCTCTTTTTTTCCATATACTCTTTTCCCCCTTGGGATCACTTCTTTTTTTTTGTAAAAACTTCTCATATGCTAACTTTTTTTTTCCCTTTCTAAATCTCTTTACACATCATTTCCCCCAATGCTTTCCCCTTCCCTCCTGCACCCCTTTCTTGTAACCACAAACTTCTGCTGAAAACTCTAACACAAAATTTTTTTTTAAACCTACCCCCAAAACCCCCCTTCGAACCCCAAAGCCTATGCCTCATTTGTCCCCTTATCCTTTCCAAAAGCTGTTTTTTTTCTTACCCAAATGCCTCCTCTTTAGTTTTATAAAACCCTTCCCCCCTCCCTTTCCCTGATGCTTTTATTCCCCTTGAACCCCACTCCTTTTTCTCTCAGGTTTGCTACAAATAGAAAGGGGATCTGAAATATCTTTGGCCCCCTAAAAGGTTTTGTACACAGCCTGAAGTCTAATCCCGCAGTCTTTTAAACTACCCAAAACATAACCAACCCAAAATACTGCATTTCGCCCTACAAACATATCTTGTATACTTATTTATTTCCCCTTTTTCTTAAAATTTATTACCTATAACTAAACCCCTTTTTTAAACAAAGTTCAATCAAAGGGCTCCCATTATCATTTACACCCGGCACCCCAAAATTACCTACCAAAAACCCCCCTCCCAAAAATTTCTTTCCCACTTTTAAACTTTCCCGGTTTCCCCCACCACAATTACCTCCCCACTTGTTTAAAGGCTCCTAAGATTTTACTTAAAATCTCCCAAAATCTCTCTCTCCTCCTCCCTTTCATTCCTCCTTCTCCGGTCATACAAAAGCTTATTATGACCCCCTTCTCGCATCCAACCTTTACTTTTAAAAAACATAATTCTTGAAATTTTCACATTCATATTCTCTTTTCCCCCTTCCATAACTGATCATTTAACATTTCCCGCTACCCCTTTTCCTTGCTCTAAATCTCTTTAATACTCCCGATTTTAAACCCCCTTTATTTTCCCCCCACTGAAACTCTCCTACCCCCTTCAGCTTTGTTTCGCTTAGAGCCAGGACATCCAACTTCTTTTCATTCATAACATCAGCAATCATCTGTTTCTTGTCATCCGTACTACATCCACGCACATTTAAGCAACCCAGTTTTATAAAGTTTTTCTTCTTCTCTTTTTTAGTAAATGTATACAGGAGAAGGGGTTACTAGCCCATAGCTTAATCTGAATTGTTTACTACAGTCAGTGGCTGCTGTCTCTTCATTTTGTTACTATGATTTTTCATATATTTCAGTGATGAGAGCATCCACATTTTATCATGCTATACGTTCATTTTTCTTGAGTATTCTTTCTCGTGTGAATTCATGTTTAGTTTATATTTGTTTGGTATAGGTTTGGTGAGTTCCTATATAGTATTTGGTAAACTTGGTAAAGAAATGTAGCTTATTTTTACAAGTGTTGGCATCTGATTGTGGTGCTGGGAGGTAGTGGTGGTAGTCGCTGATACTTCATCACATTTGTTCAGGTATGCTAAGCTTTTGTTTGGTTAGTTAACCCGGAGGATTAGCCACCCAGGATAACCCAGTAAAGCATGTGTGTCATTGGGAACTGTCTACTTTTATTACTAATGGAGTCTTTTAATCTTGTTTCCCAGGATATGACCCACAAATCTACCAACACCCAGGTACCTGCTTACTGCTAAGTGAACAGGGACAGCAGGTGTAAGGAAACATGCCCAACATTTCCACCCATGCTGGGGAGTGAGCTATGGACACAGTATGTGAGCTGAGTGTGTTGTCAACTGAGCCACAGGACACAAGACAGGTATTGTGCAGGACCACATTAACCTTTTACACGTAAAGTACTTGCATATTCAAAAGCAACAACATCCTTACAATTTTGTAAGGAAATGAAGCTCATTTATACTGATACTATTGTCAGCTAATGATGATAGCATGTGGTAGTGGTTGTAGCTGATACTGCTTGCCATATATTTATGTAGGTATTGTATCCCTACCACATCAAATGATTCCACACACAGGAACATCAAGATAACACGATTGGCTTGTGCTAGGAAGGCCTTTCTTGAACTCAGCCTATTTCTAATTAGCTTTAAATAAGTTGGACAAATGTGCAAGTGAGATAGGTCTAGTTTGAAAAGGACATTATTATTATTATTATTATTATTATTATTATTATTATTATTATTATTATTATTATTATTATTATTATTATAATCATGGGGATCACTAAACCTGTAGGAATTTTGAAAAAGTCAAACTTAGCATTGGTCAGTAGGTCTGCTGCAGGACTCCTCTGATTTTATGTTCTTGTGGGTTGATGTAGCCCTGCAGGCAATGAAAACTGTAATATAAGGTATGAAAAAAATATATTATTTTTTGGCAAATTTTGAAATTTAAAGTGAACTTTGCTGTTTTTTTTTTTGGGGGGGGGGGACAACAGCTAGCAGAGGAGGATTTTTTGTGGAATAACCTGAGGGTTAGTATATACAGTGGACCCCCGCATAACGATCGCCTCCGAATGCGACCAATTATGTAAGTGTATTTATGTAAGTGCGTTTGTACGTGTATGTTTGGGGGTCTGAAATGGACTAATCTACTTCACAATATTCCTTATGGGAACAAATTCGGTCAGTACTGGCACCTGAACATACTTCTGGAGTGAAAAAATATCGTTAACCGGGGGTCCACTGTACTAACTTGAGATACACAAATAACCCAAACATAGAAGAGAGGAGGTGGTAGTAGTGGAGGGAGGAGGTAGTAGTGAGGAAGTAGTAAGAGTAGGAAGGGCCAGTCAAATACTACTAAGAAAGAGGAGCACTGCAAGGGAGCTAGGTGCGGGTTATTTGTGTATTGTTCCAGTCACGGTATTGTGCCTTTTTTTTGTTACTAACTTGAGATACCCTGTAAAGCCTAGTAGTATATAACTTAAGATACCTGGTACAAGCATGTCACTATTTGACTGGTTTATTTCCAATGTCCATTAGTAGTTATATGTTATAAGTAATTTTAAGGCTCCCCAAAATGCTCTTCATAACTAGGGACTTTCTATAAGTATATCAGTAATATCACATTTTCTGTACTAAATGTAAACCATTCTTTATAGAAATAATGTACATATTTTTGAGTCCTCAAACACTACTTATTGAATATTTTTTAAAATATCAAGGTTTTACAAGCAGACTCACTTAGATTGTTTCACAGCATAGGTAAACATTTGGATGTTGTACCCATGATGTTTAATGTTCTGTATCTCAGTAATATTTAAAGTTTCACTTGTGGTGATGTACAAGACATGTGGATACTCAGGATACCTGTGAGATAGCTTAGATATCTATAGAACCACCTTAAGTTTCATTTTTTTTTATCATAGACAAAGGCTTGATCCTGTCTGCTTCAGGTCATTCTTGTGGGAAATTTACTAGTTGTTCTCCAGGCTGATTGTTTGCAAGAGAGGTGACAAACTTTGTCCTTACAAGTCTTCCTTCTCAGTGTTTTTGTAGCTTGACTCTGCTTATTTTGTCATAGCTGTGCAGGCTTTGGGAACTTAAGTATTTTGGCCATCAAATAATCTTTCAAAGAGGCAGTTACACTGTCACTGTCAACACTCCCTTCTTATATGTTCATGATGGAGGTTAGTGCAATCATTCTTTGATTTACTGCACAATAAAACATAAAACATGTCATCAGACTAGGAAATTGCTTACTATCACATTTGCAGACAGATCAAAGATTAGCATTCTGACCAACAACCCTTCTATGAAGCAAGATTGCTTGCTTAGAGCATGCATAGGGCAAGCCCTTATCCTTCAACTACTAAGTATAATCTTAAAACGGGCTCATGTTTTCCTCTCATATCCTTTATAGTTGCTACACAGCAGGTCATAATCAACCATGTTGTCTTGCACCCAGGCTCAACCATGGCTTCTCCCAATGTTGTCATAATTCAGTTATTTGGTTTGTGCCCAGAGAGTAAGGGCTTGTCTTTCTTGGGAGGTGGGCCACACTTTCCACAGGATGCTTGGCTAAGTAGAACCCAGCATCTCTTTGTTTATAAATGGCAGGGACATTTGCCCTTTCCTGTAAATTTATTGCAATTTAAGGTGAATAACCAAACTTGTTGTGGAATATAAATATTTTACTTTCACTTGCCTGCCTTGTAACAATTATTGCTGTAATGTGACAGTAAGTTAGTCATGACTGAGTACATATTCATATTATTTTCATAGAAAAGTGCTAAACTTGTAGGGGTCATACAGCACCTAGGGTAGGTAATCAAGTATGATCTAAGAAAGAGGGTGATGGCTCCGTTGTCTTGTATCAAGAACCCTTCAGCGTCATAGCAACACTCTGAAAAGGCTACATATTTGTAGCTACAAGATCAGAGCTAAGCTTGTGTTCACTGTTATCTACGGTAATTTTTTCCAGTGGTTGTAGAATTTACTACCACCACTTGTAAACTGTTCCATTGTTCTACCACTTTCTGCTGTATAGTCCTTGTGGCTTAGTGCTTCTTTTTGATTATAATAATAATAATAATCTACCACTTTCTGAAGAAAAGCTTTCTTTTGGTCTTCATGTAGCTCTTCCTTCTGACCTCTTGTTCTGCCAGTTGATGAGGGTAGGAACTCTTCATAGTCATTTGTTTTTTTTTTGTATTTTTATAACTTATACCTATGAAGAGTTTCGAGAGTTTCACTATTCTCTGAGCCTGGCCATGGGCCAGGCTCGTCTGGTACTTGCTTGATCAACCAGGCTGTTGCTGCTGGAGGCCTGCTGTCCTACATATTCATCACTGCCTGGTTGATCTGGCACCTGGTGAAGATACTGTACTTGTCCAGTTTTTATGACTCATGAAATGAGTTTTATGACTCTCTGACCTCGGGTTCTATCCCTACCTGTGGTATGGTTTGTAAAGTTTCCTCTTGAAGGCTTCTACACTTGTTCCAGTTGTGTTTCTGATATCTTCTGGTAAAATGTTGAATAGTCTGGGACCCCGAATGTTGATACAGTGTTCCCTTATTGTCCCCACCGCACCCCTGCTCCTTACTGGGTTTATTTTGCACTTCCTCCCATATCTCTCACTCCAGTATGTTGTTATGGCAGTGTGCAGATTTGGGACCAGGCCCTTGAGTGCTTTCCAGGTATATAATGCTTTTTATATTTCCTCTTCACCTATGCTTATACTTAAACCTTTTTTTTAGATGGGGGAATAGAAACCAATTTATATCTTGTCTTTGGCCTTTATTTTCCTAGATACAGGTGGGTCCTGCTTTACAGTGCTTCACTGTACAGCATTTTGATTTTCAATTATACTCATTCTTCATTTATTTAGGCTTCCCACAATGAATATATTCACCACTCAATATCAGCTAAGGACGAAAATATGCATTTTTTAGATGTAGTTCTGTTGTTCACTTAATATATGATAGTGTAAACGTGTTATCAGGATTTATATGCATTGGAAAGTGAAAAAAGGCTATGATGCGTTTTACAGCGATTTTCACTTTACAGCAGTATCCCAGAACTTAACCTGCTATATAAGTGGGGCCCTCCTGTATTTTATTTTTTTTAGGTTGACATCATATCATTGCTTTTTCTAATTTTGTGAAAGATTTTTAGCCTTTCCCTTCCATATTTCTAAATGCTGTTTCTCATTGTTAAACTTGTGTGATTTTCTAAAACAGCAATCTTTTATCATTGGTGGCTCTTAGGTCTCTTTGCTGCATGAAGTATTTTATTACAAACAAAACTTATACCATACTCAGGCATGCTTTCATTTCCTACCATTTTTGTTACCAGATGAGCCTGGCCCATGGCCAGGCTCAGAGTAGAGAAACTCTAGAAACTCTTCAAAGGTATATCAAAGGTGGCATTTCTTCACGTTAACTTCCATCATCTACCTCTTAATGCACTTGCTTGATTTGTCCAAGTCTTCCTGTAGGAATACAGTATGCAGCCATTTTAATTATTTGGATTTGAGTGTTACTATGCAGACATACGTATTTACGTACTGTAGTTCTTAATTCCTTCTGGTAAGTCATTACTGTATAGAGATTTGGAACTTTACCAGGAGTAAACACTGATCTTCATGGCACCCTGCTAAGTACTTTGCCCTACTAGGATATTTGATCTAGTGTTTTTTTCACGGTGCATAGTACTGTATTACATTATAGTATACAAGTTTATCGTATATAGCAAAGCCCTTGGTTATGCAATGCCTTTCTCTTCAAACCTTGATATCAGTGAGGGCATTTGATCCAGGGAATTGAAGCTACCCTCCCCTTGGATTGAATCCTATTGTCTCCTATCCCTCAGGTACTATACACATATATGATTTCTGTGGGTTTAGCACTACCCCCATTAAAATCAGAAATTTCTTTTTCACTAATTATTTGCCTTTTATGTTTATATGTTTCCAGGTTAGTCTTCTGTTAGAAACTATTGAAAGGTTTTAAACATTTTAGATTACTGTACCTTTTAGTAGCTTGTACATTATGCCTTTTTCATATTAGATGGTTTGTCAAGTGAATGTGACAGGGCATAACTGCACATAAGACTTGCAGAAATAAGATTGTTTCAGAAAAAGATGGCCTGAAGAGAACAACATGCAGGCAATGTCAGTCATGTACAGCATTTCCCCCCCCCCCCCACATATGTATCAATCTTACAGGCTAAGAGCTGTTTTCCTACCTCAACTCATTTCAAAGCCCAATCCTATCTGAGGTATACATACCACCCCCTGGGATATGATCCACAACACTTGACTAACACCATGATATTTACTTGCTGCTAGATGAACAGGCTCAATAGGTGTAAGGAAACGTGTCCAATATTTCCACCCAGGCTGGGATCAAACCATGGACTCTAGCGTGTGAACTGAGTGTGCTACCTTGAGGGGAAATGAATGTTGTAATATTGCTTTTAAATAATGGTAATTTTATCTTTTGAACTTACTATAGGTGAAATTTGTACTAAATTTTCAGATTCATAGGCAAACATTCCACACATTTATATAGGATTGTTTGTATTCTTTGGCTCTTGTGGCCAAGGGATGGTCAGCATCTGAATGTATTATTTGAAACTAGCAAAAATTGTAGCCATTGTGAATAGCATAGATTCAAACCATTACAATATGTCCTGGTCAAGCCTTAATCATTAAATCACAAAAAACTAAGGATATTGTTCTAACTAAACCGAATGAAACACTGCTACAGCCTGTTGATACCATAGGATCAAGTCTCGCCAGTAAAATCCCAGGTACCAATGCCTGAGCAAGTGATTACTTAAATGGGAATTTCCCAACCTCCTCCTATCTTGCACCTACTGAGCCCACTGAAGTCACCATGATAATCAAGTCACTTAAATATAAATCAGGGAATCTGTCTCAAGTCCCACCAGTATTATACAAGTGAGCAGCCCATGTCCTTTTGCATGCTATTTCATTACTTTTTAACAAATCGCTAGAAACTAGCACTTTGCCGACACTACTCAAAACAGCAAGGGTTCCACCAATACACAAAGGTGGTGACCCCACAGACCTAAACAACTATAGACCAATATCAGACTTACCGTTGCTATTCAGAATCTTCGAGAAAGTCGTGCACAAGAGATTATACTCGTTTATAACAACACAAAGCATACTCAACCCCTGCTAATTTGGCTTCAGAAAAAATAAACGCGCTAACAATGCAATTGTAAAAATGATAGACCTGCTTTACACAGCATTGGAAAATAAGGAATATTCATTAGGACTTTTTATTGACCTAAGGAAAGCTTTCGACACAGTAAACCATGGCATCCTACTCCAAAAACTTGACCATTATGGTTTAAGAGGCCATGCACTTGCATATTTCAAATCCTACCTTACTATAGGTTCTAATAGGTATCAGTATGTCACCATTAAAGACACACCCTCCTCATCACGACCACTTGATACTGGAGTGCCACAGAGAAGTGTCCTTGGTCCCTTGCTCTTCCTCTTATACATCAGTGATCTTCCCAATGTATCACAACACCTGAAACCAATTCTCTTTGCTGACGACATGACTCATGTCATCTCCCACGCAAATCTTGCCACACTCAACACCATTGTTAATGAGGAACTACTAAAAATATCAACATGGATGACAGCCAATGAACTTACACTCAACACCGATAAAACCTTCTATATTATGTTTGGTAACAGAGCAGGTGATGCGCAATTAAACATTAAGATTGACAACACTCTTATTGCTAAGCATAACGAGGGCAAATTCCTGGGCCTACACCCCGACAACAACCTGAAATTCAGTACCCATATCCAACACATAACAAAAAAAGTATCCAAAACTGTTGGGATCCTCTCTAAGATACGTTACTATGTACCACAACCAGCCCTACTCACATTATACTATTCACTCATCTGTCCCTACCTCACATATGCCATTTGTGCCTGGGGATCAACAGTAATTACCCACCTAAAACCAATAATAACCCAATAAAAAGTCGCAGTGAAAATTGTCATGCAATCCAATGCTAGGCAAACCCCCCCCTCCCCACTCTTCAAAGATCTAAACTTACTCACTGTTCAGAACATTCACACTTACTACTCTGGAATCTACATCTAGAAAACCATAACTTCCAATATTAACCCTGAACTAAAACACTTTCTTGATAGTTGTGACAGGACCCATAGACTTAATACCAGACATAAAGATCTCTTTGACATTCCCAGTGTCCGGCTAAATCTATACAAAAATTCAATGTCCATAAAAGGGCCTAAAATCTGGAACTCCCTACCTGAAAACTCTAGAACTGCAGACACAACCACCATTTTCAAAAGCACTGTTAAAAAACATCTTATCTCCCTTACACACCCCACTGGTAGCTAACCATGTGAAAACTACTTTATCTTGCACACATCCAAAGCACAATACACTTATTGATATCTGTGACTCCCCTTAAGCTATACATGACTGTAAACATAAAATTCTGAATACAGCTATTTCTTCATAATTCTTAAGCTAGTTATAAGTCTGCCTGGAATGCCTAGGCATATCTAAGAATACTAGTGGCCTTCTTTGTAAGAAGTATTTTATAATATGTAATAATATCTTATACATGATATGTAAACCCCACATTGTAATATTAACAAGAGAAATAAAGAATTTTAATTTTTAATTTAATTTAATCTGAAACTAGCTTACCAGCCCTCCACTGACCAACTATTTTTGAAGATTATCTGATATTGTATTACATATCTTGTTTTATAACATCCATGTATTTTTGCTATTTGTCAGTTTTCTTGTTCAGATATTATTTAAGGGAATCACCTTTATAATAATTTGAATGCTGTTGTGTAGGGCCAGAATTAAAGTAACCAAATAAACATGCTGTTTATGCCAGCTTTGCTTTGTTTACACTGTACTGGTTACCGTGTTCCCTTATCTTTTATGTTCCATTGCATTGTAGCTGAACATACCATCATGTGCAGCTTGAGAGAATGACAATACCGAAATATTTTTCAGGCGAACATAGAGCAGCATTTATGAACCTCCTGCAACAGACGCTAGAATGGGTTTCAGTGACTATCCATAAAGGAACTGCATATTTGTCCTTACTAGCTCATCACCCCCCATTGTGAAAGACGGCAGCCTGTTTAGTGAGTGGCCTTGTTGATGACGTTCTGTTCACACATTTTAACACAATTTAGAAGGTATCTCTGAATTTTGATTCACTATGCATCTGTATTGACATTTCTGTATTTTTTAGTATTGACTACTGGTAGATTAAGGGATGTTTATTGTATTATAGCATTGTTTCATGGGTGATAAGTTGTTTTATGTAGCACATCCTTAATAGAATGCTCTTTACATTTTTTCTGAAAAGGCAATGATAGTATGGTAATCAGGAGAAAGAGGAACAGTTACAGTGGAAACAAGGCTTTGGAGAGGATCAAGAATTGTGTTGGTGTGCATTTCTCACTTCTCAAGATGTTGTTTGCCTGATAATTTGTTTATTGGGAAAATATGTGGGGAAGCTAAATATTTGTTATACCATCAGATTTAGTAAGTGGTGAAAGTGAGGTGGCACTGTTAGTAAATAAGGAACTGTAAGAAGAATACAGAAAGGTCTAATAAAGTACAGTAGGTGAATAAAATAATAAATTAATGTTTTGGATACAGTGGACCCTTGTTTTTCGTAAGCATCAGAATTTGTAATTTTCACAAATCGTAACTTTTTTCATCAAAACATTGACTTACAAATCGTTGTTTGACCCGCAAATAGTCGTTTGTCCCAATTGCATATAAGCAGCCCGAGCGTCCCCACACACCATTCACAGTCAGTGCCATTGTTTATCAGCAAGTGAGCACGATCCCACGCGTTCATACGATACATTTCGTAATATTCCATTTGTTTTAGTGCTTGCAACTGCTAAATAAGCTGCCATGGGCCGAAAGAAAGCTCCTAGTGCCAACCCTTTGATAAAGAGGGTAAGAAACACGATAGAATTCAAGAAAGACATCATTGCAAAATATGAAAGTGGAATGCGTGTGGCAGAGCTTGCCAGGCTGTATGGGAAACCCCATACAACCATCTCTTCCATTGTGGCCAAGAAAAAGGAAATTAAGGAAGCTGTTGTTGCAAAAGGGGTAAATATGCTCACAAAAATGAGATCGCAAATCCTCGAAGATGTGGAGAGGTTGTTGTTGGTGTGGATCAACGCGAAACAATTAGCAGGAGATAGTCTTATGCAGTCAATAATTTGTGAAAAGGCAAGGCAGTTGCATGACGATCTCGTGAAGAAAATGCCTGCAATGAGTGCTGAAGTCAGTGAATTTAAGGCCAGCAAAGGCTGGTTTGAGAGATTTAAGAAGCGTAGTGGCATACACAGTGTTGTAAGGCATGGTGAGGCTGCAAGATCAGACAAACATGCGGCTGAAAAATCTGTGCAGGAATTCAAGGGGTATTTAGAGACTGAAGAATTCCAACCCCAACAAGTGTTCAGTTATGAAACAGGCCTCTTTTGGAAGAAAATGCCAAAGAGGACCTACATCACGCAGGAGGAAAAGGCACTGCCAGGACACAAGCCTATGAAAGACAGGTTTACTCTTTCAGGGTTTGGGGCTGGCTCTGAGGACCCTATGCCAGTTGTGGAATCTATTGTGGCATTGGGGAATTCCACGGGGTTGGATGCGAGTGGCAAGGATGTGGAAGAGTTGGTGGAGGAGGACAATGAAGAGCTAACCATTGAAGAGCTGCAAGAGCTTCATCCGGAACACCAACAGACCATAGCTCAGGAAATAGCTTCAGAGGAGGAGGAAGAGAGATGGAAGAAGGTGCCTTCTTCAGAGATTAAGGAGATTTGTGCAATGTGGAGTAGGATAGAGAGATTTGTGGAGGAACATCACCCTAACAAAGCTGTTGTAAGCCGTGTCAACAACATGTACAATGACTATGTCTTGTCCCATTTTAGGGAAATTTTAAAGAGACACCAGAAACAGAGCTCTCTGGACAGATATTTAGTGCCACAGGTGTGCAGTGACTCTCAAGCTGGTCCTAGTGGCATTAAAAAACAAAGAAGGGAAGTAACCCCAGAAAAGCACTTGGTACCTTAAGTCTTTATAGAAGGGGATTCTCCTTCCAAACAGTAATTTCTCCATCCTCTCCCCTCCTCCCATCTTCCATACACTAAGAAGAATCTTCAATAAAGGTAAGTGTCATGTTATTGTTTTATTCATGTCTCATTGTTTTCTGTGTATATAGATCTATATTTCATGTAAAAAATTTTGTTTTAATACTTTTGGGTGTCTGGAATGGATTAATTGGATTTACATTATTCCTTATGGGGAAAATGGTTTCGCAAATTGTCAATTTCGCCATTAGTCACACACTGGAACAGATTAATTACAAAAAACGAGGGTCCACTGTAGTTGATAAATGGATGAAATAAAGTGGGTTGTGAAAATTTGATGTGAATAGGATATTGAATGGCAAAGAATGGGTGGTGACCCTCATATTTTTTTAATGCAACTGGATCCCTCAAAGGAGATTTTGATTCTGGTGAAAGGCTCATGACATTATTTCATCACCTAGGATGGATTTAATGATGAAATGTGTCAGACTTCTGTATTGTGATTAGTCAATTATGTGTTATGTTAATCTCCAGGGTTTATTACCTGGACCTCAGCAATGAGAGTGGCTACTCTCACCGCTGGGCAACGGCGACCAGTGCAATTATGTGGCTTTATATTCATTGGGAATTAAACCCATAAGGGTCATATGGCATTGAGAGAAGAGGAGGTATTCAAGTTTGATCAAAAGGGATGGATTAACCCATTTGAAGGGTTAGACCTTTTCAGTTATTCTTCTCTGAGTGTTTAGCTTTTTTTTTTATAATAATAATAATCCTCTTTGGGTATAACACCTCTCACGAGAGGGTCCTTGATGCTGGTCAGGCTCTTGTACCAAGGAATTTGCTTTGGCCTCCCATTCGATCAAACCAGATTGCCTCCTGTTCACATCCCTTTTCCTAGGTGTGGCATGTCCTCTACAAGTTCAGCACTCCCAATTAATATAAATGAAATGGGTATAGGAGATAAAGGTGCATTTAAGGTTTTCTGTAAAGGTTTCACTAAGTTTGGTAAAAAATCACCATATGTGATTTCCTACACAATGCTGATCCTTCAGTGGTTGGGGAGGGTGCCTTTATGCTGGTTAAGAAATTGCTACTTTCCCAATTCATTGTGACCCTTGTGGGTTTAGCACTTAGTTATAATTGTAATAATAATCCTATTCAGTGTATGCTGTATATTATTATTATAATCAAGGGGAAGAACTAAATCTGTAGGATTATACAGCATCTGTAGGGGGGGGGGGAATGTGGAAGGTATTCAGGTTTAATACAGGGAACTGGAGCACAGATCCAGTTCCCTAGATCAAGAGCCCCTCACCACCATCAAGGAACCTTCCTTGAGGGGGTATGCTGTATAACCCCTTATTTGCTTAGTGGATCCAAATATTGTAACACCACACTGCTATGTAGTGTGGAGTCATTCTTTTATAATGTAAAGATTGAAAGTTGTGTGTTAGTGACCCATCAAAGGTTCCTTGAAGCAAATTAATGGTACCTGTTCTCTTCCTTGGATTAAACTTGATTGCCTCCCAAGAGGTTGTATGACCCCAATGGGTTTAGCATTCCTCTTCTATATATATAAAACATGTATGTACTGAGTTGCTTGACTCGATACCCAGCTCCTCTTGATTCAAGGACTTGGACATATCATTTTCTTGGATTAAATCTAGTTACACACAGCACTATATGACTTGCTACAAGTATAGCACTTCCCTGTAATCATAATATATCTATGTGATTAAGGAAGGTGGACAAAATGTGCATGCTTACCTAATAAACATGGGTTTAATGATGTAAATATTGTACAAAAAATTATCTTGTTACAATTGGTGTCAAGGTTAAATTATTTATGCCCTGTGCTACTTTGTGATGCAAAATAGAGATATCTAAGGTTGGGGTTAAGTGCTACTTTTTGTGGCTTAAAGTAGCACAAGACTGTTAGTCTTGGACAGGTGTTGCTTTCTTGACTTTGATGCTATGAGGGAGAGACAAGGTGTTATTTTTGTAATAAGACCACTTTTGTAGCTCTTAAAAACAAATTTTTTGTGCTTCATGAAAGATTACAATGTGATGACAGGTCTTTAATGATGCATGAAAATAGCACTAGATAAAATGTTGCTTTTGTACCCGACACTACACAAATAACCCACACATAAGCTCTTCTCTCCTATGTGTGGGTTGTGCCTTTTTGTTCTTTTTGTACCTAACAAAAGTAGCACAAGCTTATTTCTGATAACTGTTAGGTTAAGTAACATAAGATGCTTGTTGGAAGACTGGGTGTAATTTGTACTTTAGCATTGAATTCATTCACCATAGGCGACAATTTAAATGTCAGGTGTTACTTTTGTGACTCAGAAGTAACACTGGTTCATCAAGGCAAAGCCGAGATGCGGGAGGGCTGGTGTTGCTTTAAAAACTCACAAAAGTAGCACTAAGGCCAGGAATAGCTTATGTAAGTTAAGAAAGTGGCACTGTGCCATGAGGGTAGACCAGGATTTGGGATACAGCTGGTGCTTATGAAAGTGTCTTTCAAGATCCACAAAAATAGCAATATCCTCCCTAAGGGGCATACCATGTAAAAGTTTCACAATTCGCAAAAGTAGCACTGTGTGCCCTAATAGTATACCATGATTTGAGATAGCTGTTGCTACTTTAGTGAGCAATAAAGATATGGCCAACAGCTAAGATGTCAAGTGCTACTTTATTGGCTTATATAAGTAGCACCAGATCATACTGAAGATGGCATGTGTTATTACAAAAGTAACTATATTTTATGGCTCATAAAATATTTAAGTTTTCCACAAATTTCTTAATCAACTAGCAATGACTTCCACTCTGTGGGAATTGTCAGGTTCCAGTTTCTGTTAGTGGGCAGTTCAACAGAATGTGTCCAACGAGCATGCAGAACTTGCCTCCAACATCGTCGCCGCTCGACTGCCCTTTACCTTCCCATCTTGCTGATGGACTCTCCTCTAACCCAGTCACTTTCATTGACTTTTTGGACAGCAACTGATTTACTGCACAAAGTCTGATGATAACTCATAATCATCCCTCTCTCTTGCTACCCAATACCCTTACATCCTTCCCTGCTGCACTATGACCCTTGTGGGTTTAAGCCCCTCAAGGAAGGTTCCTTGATGTTGGTGAGGGGCTCTTGATTTAGGGAATTGGATCTGTGCTCCAGTTCCCCAAATTAAGCCTGAATGCCTTCCACATCCCCCCCCCCAGGCGCTGTATAATCCTCCGGGTTTAGCGCTTCCCCCTTGATTATAATAATAATGTGGGTTTAGCACTTTTGGATTATAATAATATCTAGCAATGACAACTATGATGTAGGGAATGGAAAACTAATTTGTCTTAGCCAATTTTTATACAAAGTTTCAAGACTTTTTAGAAAAAAAAATCCTGTTTTCTCAACTGTTCCTTGGTTCATTTTAGATGATTTTTTGATTAGATGCCATTTTCAGGAATGCACTTGTCTTGATGGACAGCCAACTGCAGAAAACCATTACTTCCTAATAAAATTATAAGACTTATTACAGTGTATGTGAAATTCAACAAACCAGTAATCAGTCTTCAATATATGCTGTTAGGCACTGGCCCTCCAAACATGTTTCTCCACGAAAATGGTGCTTTCCACGATGGATCAGTAGTCTGAAAATAAAATGAAGCAGTTTGGTTCCCTAGTTATTAATCGCATCCACTTGCCTTCTATTTTCAATTCATCACAAAAATAGATTTACCCCATTTCTCAGGTAATATAACCAGCAATGATTGTTCATGGCATCCCAATAGTCATACCCCACCCTATGTTATTACGTAATTGGTTTCAAGAGCCGTGACTTAACCCAGTTTTTATGCCTTAAAATGACGACAAACGTTGTAAAGCTAGCATAAATAACTAGCAAAAGAATATAACTATTGCTAAACCTTAAAGAACACTAAAAAAAATTATGAAGTAGGCGACATTGCTGAGTAACCTAAAGTTGGACATAATGCTGTTCACTGAACTGAAATTTACTCTAGAAAAGTGGCATAAAAGCAAATTCAACGTAGGCCAAAATGATGTACAGTGGGGTATGACTAACTGAATCATACATATTAAAAACCCATAAAACAGACCAAATGGGGTGTAGGGGGCCTTACCTGTCCTTGGGAAAAATTAAACCTTTTCACTACTCTGAGCCTAATTTCATGTTGCTTTCAGTCCTGAAATTATCTCTATTTCAGTATATCTTCCAAGGTACAGTATTTAAGTACTCTAAACACATGAAATGCTTAACACGACATAATAGACTGGTACAAACATTTTTTTCTCATACCTTTTGAGTGCTTTTATCTTCAAATGCTTTGCATAAGAAAATCTTGTGATATTAAAAGTGATTCAGCATGTAATACCCTTAGAAGCAAGACAAACCTGACTATCAAGTTACTCTGGGTAAAAAATATACCTGTATATACAGAGGACCCCCACTTAACGATCACCTCCCAATGCGACCAATTATGTAAGTGTATTTATGCAAGTGCATTTGTACGTGTATGTTTGGGGGTCTGAAATGGACTAATCTACTTCACAATATTCCTTATGGGAACAAATTCAGTCAGTACTGGCACTTGAACATACTTCTGGAATGAAAAAATATCGTTAACCGGGGGTCCACTGTACTTCGTAATTTTTTATTTTTTTTTTTATCATCACACTGGCCGATTCCCACCCAGGCAGGGTGGCCCGAAAAAGAAAAACTTTCACCATCATTCACTCCATCACTGTCTTGCCAGAAGGGTGCTTTACACTACAGTTTTTAAACTGCAACATTAACACCCCTCCTTCAGAGTGCAGGCACTGTACTTCCCATCTCCAGGACTCAAGTCCGGCCTGCCGGTTTCCCTGAACCCCTTCATAAATGTTACTTTGCTCACACTCCAACAGCATGTCAAATATTAAAAACCATTTGTCTCCATTCAACTCCTATCAAACACGCTCACGCATGCCTGCTGGAAGTCCAAGCCCCTCACACACAAAACCTCCTTTACCCCTCCCTCCAACCTTTCCTAGGCCGACCCCTACCCCGCCTTCCTTCCACTACAGACTGATACACTCTTGAAGTTATTCTGTTTCGCTCCATTCTCTCCACATGTCCGAACCACCTCAACAACCCTCCTCAGCCCTCTGACAACAGTTTTGGTAATCCCGCACCTCCTCCTAACTTCCAAACTACGAATTCTCTGCATTATATTCACAACCACACATTGCTCTCAGACATGACATCTCCACTGCCTCCAGCCTTCTCCTCACTGCAACATTCATCATCCATGCTTCACACCCATATAAGAGCGTTGGTAAAACTATACTCTCATACATTCCCCTCTTTGCCTCCAAGGACAAAGTTCTTTGTCTCCACAGACTCCTAAGTGCAACCACTCACCCTTTTCCCTCATCAATTCTATGATTTACCTCATCTTCATAGACCCATCCGCTGACATGTCCACTCCCAAATATCTGAATACATTCACCTCCTCCATTACTCTCTCCCTCCAATCTGATATCCATTCTTTCATCACCTAATCTTTTTGTTAATCCTCATGACCTTACTCTTTCCTGTATTCACTTTCAATTTTCTTCTTTTGCACACCCTAACCAAATTCATTCCACCAATCTCTGCAACTTCTCTTCAGAATCTCCCAAGAGCACAGTGTCATCAGCAAAGAGCAACTGTGACAACTCCCACTTTATGTGTGATTCTTTATCTTTTAACTCCACGCCTCTTGCCAAGACCCTCGCATTTACTTCTCTTACAACCCCATCATTAAATATTAATACAAACCATGGTGACATCACACATCCTTGTCTAAGGCCACTTTTACTGGGAAATAATTTCCCTCTTTCCTACATACATCTAACTTGAGCCTCACTATCCTCGTAAAAAACTCTTCACTGCTTTCAGTAACCTACCTACCTACAACCATACACCTGCAACATCTGCCACATTGCCCCCCCTATCCACCCTGTACATACGCCTTTTCCAAATCCATAAATGCCACAAAGACCTCTTTAGCCTTATCTAAATACTGTTCACTTATATGTTTCACTGTAAACACCTGGTCCAACACACCCCCTACCTTTCCTAAAGCCTCCTTGTATCATCTGCTATCCTATTCTCCGTCTTACTCTTAATTCTTTTAATAATAACTCTACCATACACTTTGCCAGGTATACTCAACAGACTTCTTTCTCTTCTTTCACACACCGCCATATCCCACCAAGGCAGGGTGGCCCAAAAAGAAAAACAAAGTTTCTCTCTTAAATTTAGTAATTTATACGGAGAAGGGTTACTAGCCCCTTGCTCCCGCATTTTAGTCGCCTCTTACAACACGCATGGCCTTACGGAGGAAGAATTCGTCCACTTCCCCATGGAGATAAAGGAAATAAACAAGAACAAGAACTAGAAAGAAAACAGAAGAATACCCAGAGGGTGTGTATAATATGCTTGTACATGTATGTTAGTGTGACCTAAGTGCAAGTAGAAGAGCAAGACGTACCTGAAATCTTGCATGTCATGAGACAGAAAAAAGGACACCAGCAATCCTACCATCATGTAAAAACAATTACAGGCTTTTGTTTTACACTCACTTGGCAGGACGGTAGTACCTCCCTGGGCGGTTGCTGTCAACCAACCTACCACCTAGTGCTCAACAGACTTATCCCCCTATAATTTTTGCACTCTCTTTTATCCCCTTTGCCTTATAAAAAGGGAACAATGCATGCTCTCTGCCCATCCCTGGGTACCTTACCCTCTTCCATACATTTATTAAATAATTGCACCAACCACTCCAAAACTATATCCCCACCTGCTTTTAACATTTCTATTTTTATCCCATCAATCCCGGCTGCCTTACCCCCTTTCATTTTACCTACTGCCTCACGAACTTCCCCCACACTCACAACTGGCTCTTCCTCACTCCTACAAGATGTTGTTCCCTTGCCCCATACACAATCACAGCTTCCCTATCTTCATCAACATTTAACAATTCCTCAAAATATTCCCTCCATCTTCCCATACCTCTAACTCTCCATTTAATACTCTCCTCTCCTATTTTTAACTGACAAATCCATTTGTTCCCCTAGGCTTTCTTAACTTGTTAATCTCACTCCAAAACTTTTTTATTTTCAACAAATTTGTGATAACATCTCACCCACTCTCTCATTTGCTCTCTTTTTACATTGCTTTACCAAATCTCTTAACCTCTCTCTTTTTCTCCATATACTCTTCCCTCCTTGCATCACTTCTACTTGTAAAAGCTTCTCATATGCTAAAATTTTTCTCCCTTACTACTCTCTTCACTCTCATTCCACCAACGCCTTCCCTTCCCTCCCCACCCACTTTCCTGTAACCACAAACTACTGCTGAACACTCTAACACTACATTTTTAACCTACCCATACCTCTTCGAACCCCATTGCCTATGCTCTCATTAGCCCCTCTATCCTCCAATAGCTGTTTTTATCTTACCCTAACTGCCTCCTCTTTTAGTTTATAAACCCTTTACCTCTCCTTCCCTGATGCTTCTATCTCCTTGTATCCCATCTACCTTTTACTCTCACTGTAGCTACAACAAAAGTGATCTGATATATCTGTGGCCCCCCTATAAACATGTACATCCTGAAGTCTACTCAACAGTCTTTTATCTACCAATAAAATAATCCAAAACTACTGTCATTTCGCCCTACATCATATCTTGTATACTTTTTTTATACTCTTTTTTTTAAAATATGTATTACCTATAACTAACCCTTTCTATACAAAGTTTCAATCAAAGGGCTTTCCCATTATCATTTACACCTGGCACCCCAAACTTACCTACCACACCCTCTCTAAAAGTTTCCCTACTTTAGCATTCAGGTCCCCTACCACAATACTCTCTCACTTTGGGTTTAAAAGGGTCCTTACATTCACTTAACTCCCCAAAATCTCTCTCTTCTGCATTCCCTTTTTTCCCGGGGCATACACGCTTTTTTATACCCACTCTCGCATCCAACCCTTTTTTTTAATCCCATAATTTTTGCATTACACATTTATTTTCCTTTTCTCCCCCATAACGATC